GCCGGAGGGACACCGTAACTAATACCCGGGTATAAATCAAAATTTGGCCTTCAAAACTGCCGCAGGGTATAGCTCACGGGGGGGTACTCGTGTCGGTGAAATACGGTAATTGTAACGGGCGCTTTGTTAATATATCCACAGACATGACCAATTCCAGTTCGGTTGTAATAGCAGTGAGCTCTACCTCTGAGAGGGAATTGCTGATAGTCCGTGCTAATAAACTTCACTGTTTATCTCCTCATAATAAATACCCTCACGATGTACATAGCGATATCATGTAGTAGTCTTGGCGGTAGCGCGTCATTCGAGCTATATATGAGCGAGCTTGTTCACGCTTTCATGAGGAAACATAGAAAGTACTCTCTATAGCTAGCATATGGACCTAACAGCTCCTCTTCCGATCTCCAAGATTTTGTTTGTAGCAAACGATGGTAAAAGAATGATTCGCCATCGTTTAATTTAAGGAAGCGCGTGCGTGTTAATATGGGTTTCTTCCTCTTAATTATTATCCGATTGTCGAAATCCCTTACAGCTTGAACATTAGTGGTGGTTATATAGCTGATAATATTATTCATATTTCAAATGTTCGAGGTCTTTGCCATGAGGTCTGCGAAATATTTCTCAATCGCATCGAGCCAATACTCGGGGAGAGCGGAACGAATATTGACCTTAGGATTTAGCCTTTTTCCAACGAGATCCTTGATTACCTCTACTTCGGTAAATCCGCTATTGACAATTGGTGACCTTTATGCTGGGTTTAAACGCTCACGATGCTGGGTTCGATCTTGCGTATGCTTTCTCTGGATTTCTAATTAACCTTGAGTAAATACGTCTATTTCTCTCGGTGGGATTATGTCGAAAGCCTATAGGTCGGGAAACTATTCTACTAATCGCGATGTCTCAATTAATTAGAAATCTTTAGGATAAAATCGAGGACAAAAGATCGATTTTATCAAGCACCGATCAAGAAAGCGTTTTCAAGCTTTATCGGCGCTCTACAATATAGATCAGAGAATACTATTTATAAATATAATATGTTTATTTGATTTACTATGTTATATAACAATTCTTAGATTCAAGCAGGAAATTACGACTGCTTATATATCTATTTCGAGTTCTGCGCCTACTGCGCTGTTCTATACTCTGAACTAATAAATACATGAGGATTAAATTAAAAGTCCGCATCGGGTGAATCTGTTTCGTTTTCATCTGTCAACCCGATATATCGAAGTCTGTTTCATTATTTGGTCCTACAAATATTGAGCTGCGGCTGGAAATGTTGGTGTAACTCGTCGGAAATCACGTCGTGTTATCGTAAATCTTGACAATAGTATGGGTTGTCGAGATTCTACAATCTGGCAATATGGTCTTTGATCGAAGTAAGGGCGGTTCAGTGGGTAAAAAATTTACAGATGCAGAAGAATTTCAGTCTCCTGCCAGGTAAAACCGATTGCCTTCGTTAATATTGAAAATATGAGATGGTTCACCTCTTCTGATGCATTGATGTCTTGTTCATCAATATTTCCCTCTCCACCTGTCTGTATGTCAGGCTCCATTGTCAATGTCAATGCACAGATTCCTAAAGTGCCAAATGGTAACCATTATTTTATGAGCAGTTAATATACTTGTAAATAATGTGAATCGGAAACATTTCATATGCATTTGTGAAGGTCATCATCATACCGTTTCTACACATCCTATGTCAGTTGTTTCACTCCTGTTTTCTGGTATATCCACATCAACTGCTTCCTCAATATCTTCCTCAATAGATCTTTTCTCTGAATGGAGCTCATCTATGATCTGGTCAACTTGCTGTACACGCGCTGCATCCAACATATTGAATACATCAGCTTGTAAGTTGAGCTTGAAAGCAGACTGCATTTGGAAAGCTTTTGTTAAAATGGTAACTTGTTTCACTTGCAAAATTAACAACATCAGAATGGTTACAGACTCTTTTGTTTCTAAGCATCACTTTTGCGTTCTTCATATTCTTACTAGACCATTCTACTTTTATCTGATCCCAATACTTGGAAGTTTCTTTTCTTATTTTTATTTAAAAAAAAAAAAAGACATAGACAGTCAAATCAGTATTTCAAATCACATTATAATATGTCAACCTTTTATGTACTTCCGTTTTGAGTCCACCATCAAACTTAACAAAAGAATTAGAATAACTGCAAAACAAAAATGGTATCTTACCTTGATGAACAATTTATTGTCCACGATTTCTGCGTTAAAAATGTCGTGGATTATTTCGAAAATTTTATCCCGCTTCTTGCCCTTGGCCTTTATCTGTGGTAATTCAAGTTCTATAATATCCGAATCATGTATTTTGCGTAGTTCGGCGTTCACTTCGTTTTCAATTTGACTGATCACCTAGGAGAAACAGACTGTTGGCTTAATTCGAAATACATGTTTCAAAAAAAAACGGAATATATTTGTCGTGCCGACTACTGCGGAAGAGCAGAAAGTAATCGACACTTGAGATTTAGCTAGTATCGGCGGAGCGTGGCGCCTCCTCCTTCTAGTTAAATATCGAGGGTACAGTTAGTGACCTTGTCAATGTCAAGGCTTTTCACTTACGGGCTATTTCACCGTAGAATGACGTTAATCCTAGATAGATAATTGCTCTCGAGTGTATCGTCGGTTATTGTCGAGGGATTATTCCGATAATCTTCCGTTTGGGGTACAATGGTTTATCACTAAGAATGAACGCGTCCGAAAAGCTAACGATTAAATATCCTAATTCGCCACTCAGATAATTGCGGACAAGAGGCAATTATCCTTGGTTGATATACGGATATAACGGTTTCTCAGATATATCAACTAATTTAGAGAATAGGGTCAATAATGTATGTTCAGAGTAAATGCGATACTCGTTTATTAACAATAATATATGAATTATAAGGAATATAAGGATCTCGCGAAACACAACACACCGACTCTAGCTGAAACTCCTACTGCTTATATATCTTTCGATCGGTCTAATTGAGCTATTTTTAGCCGCTTCATTCACTATTTCTATCACTATTTCTGTACTAATGACGAAGTAGTGACGGACTAGTGCTCGCATCACTATTGTACCTTGCAATAGTGATTGTACTTCCGCAATAGTGATTGTACCTCGTAATAGTGATTGTACCTCGTAATTGTACCTCCTACTTCCGAATTCCGCAGCTGCGCTCTGGACTGCGGTACCGTAGAAATAAGGAGAGAATACGTCATTGATTTGCGGTGCATCACACATTACTTATACCTTGGATCATGTTAACTAGCTTTTTTAAGGCTCTTTGTAGTGTTTGTACTGTATGTTATAAGAATATGCAAAGTTCCTTTTATAAGACTTTGGGATAAATATTTATTTCATGTTTTTTTAATCAATAATAAAATAGTACCTTTACTACTTGAACGACCACTAACTCCACAAATCCCGAGACTAAAAATGTGGTTGCGAAGAAATCCTTCCGTGGGGGTAGCCTTGTATATGCGCAAATTTTTGCAGTCCCGTGATTATGACTTTATGTACCGTGTGAGCTATAATAATAAGGGTTAGGGATCTCATTGGTGCAATTAATAGAATCATCGATGGGTGGATAGCCGGTCGAGATTCGAGTTGAAAACAGGTGGCTATAGTAATAGCATTGCTTATTTCGAACAGATTATATATGAAGTAATAAAGTCTTGCAGAATCCTTAAGAGAATAGGCAACAAGTTTGGATTGAAACTTGGCATACTTCATTAACAGTAAATTATCCATTACCATGTTATAATTTACTAAGCTTTTGATGGGTCAGCTTGCCAGTTGTACATTCAAAATTTGATGGTGGTTACCGTTTTACCAAATCAAAAAGTTGATATTGCCAGCTGAACATGCCACCTTTTTAACCATCATCCCAGTACTAGTATTTCGAATTTTTACAGCTTGTTGGCTATAATGATCTTTGTTATTGTAACTTCTCAGGATCTCGCTTTGACTTTTTTTGATAACTATTTCCCGACTTTTGTATACTCAATTACGCGTAAAGTAATCGGTGTTTTGCAAGCTGGAAACGCACTTGAATTTTAATAAAAAATTTGAAGCAAAGGGTTTTGACATCTATAATAAATAAAAATGTTCTGATTTCGGAAAGAAATTGTATCATATATCAATTATAACTCGATTCTTAGGCATAGAGAGATGAAGAGCGGATCGAAGCAAATAAAAGACTACTTATACTTGATGAAGTTGAGCACAGAAGATTGAAATTACGGGAGGCAGGAAAATACTTTACAGCCACGAATTAATTATTGTATCTAACTCCAGGGGCTTATCCCAAAACGTATGGGAAATCTGTTTTGCTCTAGTCAAGTTAATTACAATAAACTGCTGCCTTGTTATTGATTATATACAGTATCAACAGCGTTGCCCCATTCTTTTTTCCATATCGTTGGGTAATATCAACCAAATCATCATATTGTATAAACCAGCTCCATTGAATGTACACATACTGGCCAAAAGGTTATTGAAATTTACTAGTAAACTTAAGTTCTACACTTTTTTTTTCGAAAAATACAATCAATTAGCACAACTTACATAGTACGTATGGAACGATAGAGATTTTAGGGTTTTACTATGTTTTACTAGTAAATTCAATGAGTGACCAATACTTTTTGGCCAGTATGTGTACAATATAATCCAAATAGACACTCGTACAGCTTTGTGCGAAATAGCATGTCAGTGGCTGTAGATAAGTCTTGCTCACGGTTCTCCAAATAACCGGTATAACGCGAATTCTCGACAGTCAAGGAGATTAGCTTCTGCAATTGCAACCAACTCCCAATGCGTCTGATCCATCTGATATTCAGAGTGCAAAACAGGAAGAGTTTCTCCAGAAGTTGTTGGATAGTCAGTGGCTTCAACTTTCATTCAAGCGAAGCAACAAAATATTCAACCGACAGCAAGGCTTGTGCAAAGGCAGGAGACCTTCAGAGTGCAATGTCATGCAGATGTACAAAAAAGCTACAGATCTCTCGCCCAATAAAAAAATCCTATTCTTATTTGTTCAAAGTTCTCTCACTTTCAAAAAATAAAAAACTTATTAAACAGACAGTCGGAAAGTAGCCAAAAGTCTCCTACCACTTGAGGACGCTAGCGCAAATGTGCCGTCAAAAGTTAAAATGGATGGAGTGCTTTACTTCATTCTTTGACTAAGCCACTTGCTGTGATTTGGACTAACCGAATTTAGAGAATACAGAACTAGCTGAAGCTACATTTAATTTGGCCGAAAAGTTTTTGCAGACGGTGCCCAAGCATATGGCAAAGATGCTTGGAAAGTCGTATTACGTGTAAGTCGATAATGCATTTGCATGATAAGATTTGTTGATGTTGAATTACTGATCACGGTTTCTTCACTCCAAAAGGCATTGGGTGGCGGCACTAGCAAAGACGCCAATGTTCTTAATTCAGTGATCGAACATATTAAGCAGTCTGGACAGTCTACAAATCCGAGATTGCTTGGGCGCTTGCACGAAAACAAAAAAATTTTTGCGGGCAATGAAACAACTAAAAACACAAATATTTAAGGGAATCAGATGAACCTCTGAGGACGAAACTTGTCTTCGTGCTGATCCTGATGAAAGCACATCTCGGTGCGCTCAAAGCCGAGGTTACGAATATCGAAGACGTGAATGAAAAGGTAGACGTACTGTATCACAGGTTACGAATCTCAGGAGATATTGACAAGAGCGATTTTTTTGAATCATGACTTGCAATTACCATGGGCGAGTAGACAATAACAAACATTGTAATCATTAGTAATCACCGTCATAAAATATGTTAAAAATGACAATGCCTACTATTACAGTATTATATGTTACAATCCATCCGTGAAACAGGGCTGGAGGAATAATGCGTCATGATTATGAAGGCAAAAGAAAATGTCAAATCGTCATGAAGTATGATAATCAAAACGCAGTTAAATAACCTCTCATGTAATCTATACTATACTTTTACATATTCTCCACAGAGAATGATATTATTAAGTAATCAAACGGAGTTCAATCTCAGCTCTTAAAATTTTCGATGCATCACTGATCAAATATTTATTTACATGTATTTTTTTTTTTTTTGGCTCTTCTAGATAACTAGCAGCTCCATAATGTCCAACGGATTGAGAGCATTTCTCCACCATGCCAAGGAGATCTGTGCAAACTCCTCGTAATTTGTGTCATTATTGTTTATGAAAAATATGTAATCTATAAACAACAAATCAACTATATAATTATTGTTCATATGGATTGATCGAACCGTGCTTCGCTTTTGTGTACAACATCGCAACGATCCATCGCTGTGTAGTACTGGTGATTTCCAATAACGAAGTGTAACGTTCATTGTTTCTTCGCACTGCAATGAATCGCTAACAATATTATTCCGGGTCTTTTCTCGTATTTTCGCCAACCTCCGTCTCGAGCGTTTCCTTGATGTTCTCCGAACCCGTTGTCCCGTGTATCTTCTGATGGACGAACTACGTCTAGTGAGCGTAGCACTCACTTCCCATGATTCATCCGTGGGTTCTATTTTAGAATAGTTTTTGTTGATACTGCGACTTGGGAAATTGTCTTCAATCTGATTCTCATCCATGATCCGAATTTCATTTTGACTTTCGCTGTCTTCAACTACGGAACCATGCTTCGCCCTGCTGCAATTTTTCCAGAAACATCCCCTAGGCTTTTTAGCACAACTCAAAGACGATTTGTGGACGAAACGAAAGTTGTGTATGATGGATAAAACTTTTGATGTTGATATAAAACATGACGAACGCTTTGTCCAAGTGTGCTCCTTCCTAGTACGATCCTTCACAGTCTGAGAATGTTTGTATTGTGGCTGTGCACCTGATTTGGGCAAAGCCTTTTTACGAATAGCTTTCCTTCGTTTCAGTTTGTAATTAGTATGTTGGATACCCTTGTGCGAATGCGTCATGTTATTTGATTTTTGGGATGGTTAGAATTGGCGACTGTTTATTATATTTCATTTTTTTCTTCTATATCCTTCCTCTACTTATTTATATCCTTTCGCACCCATATAATGAATGTCGGGCTAACCAATTCAAATACTTGTTCTATCGAACGCATATCCAGTTTCCATAAAAAGATCTTTTTACTTCTCCCCTGCATGTTCGAGTGATTGTTCCGGATGTCGTACAGCCAACTCTATTCGAACGCCACTTTAGATATGTATATGACAACAAAGGACAACAAGGATAACGTTCGACTATTTTGTTGAACCGAAATGCATAAAAAATTACGCATCATTGTTATTTATTGTGGATTGTTCATCATAGACTATAGATCAATCAATATCAACTACAGGCACGTCTCTTGACAGAGTAATTGAACGCTGGGAGTATGTTGGCCGGTCTTTTTTGAGAGTTCTGGCTTTCCTGTGTAGATCAGAACTTAACGATCTTGCCATGTTCAGGGCTGCTGATGTGAATTTTCGATATGACTCATCATCTTGCCATTTCTGTTGATCGAATATTGTGCGAAAATACTCTAGATCATCAATAAGACCATCGACTGCATGCGCAAAAACTATAATGTTAATAACTACTCCAAACGAATAGCTAACATGCGTCACTTGCTCGAAGGGGTCACATGCATCATATTAATAAATTAACAGTAAACAAACGAACTACATATATCGAATAAATAAGTTATTTTAAATTACTTACTTTCTTGTCTAAGAATCGATAAGCCTTCTCTTCTCTCCTCTGATTTCGATAACAACATCATAGCATTAGCTTTCTGCATAAGTTTCTCCATGCGTTCTGTATACATTTCCTGTTTCTTCAGAACGTCTTTAGCCATTTCTTGCGCTTGTGTTTGGGACAGAACAACGTGCGGGTCTCCCGTATTGTGATGAAATCTGTTGGTTGATATATGAGACAGTATAGAACGTTTGGGTTGCATGGTGCTCGAGTGCATGTTAGATTAATAATGGGCGCTCTTTAAACGAGACAGGAAAGAACGGGGTGTTATCGATTTGCTTTCATTTATTGCTGTGCTTAACGCAATCTTGCTCTTTGTCACGCGACAGTTGCCAAGTCAGATGATCAACTTACGTGTAATGTGTATTATTGACTGGAAGATGCGTTTGTCAACCAATTATATTAATATTTCACTTAAAATAAGTCTAACTCTGAAAAACGGATATGTAAACAATTATGTAATTGACAACACATATGTAACAATGATTTCCTAACTGATTTATTTATATAACTTACAACAGTCGTGAACACACGTTACACACTGATTGTTTGTTATTTCGTATAGTTTTAGTTGATCCTTCAAAACAAGCGTCGTTGGGAAGCAGCTACAGAAATTCTCACATATTCTCAGATATTCTTAATTGAGGACTATCGCAAGAATGCATCTCACCTGCTTAGTCTATGAAACGAGTCTCTCTTTCTTTCCTCCTGTCCGTTTATTTTAAATAAAATAGCGGATAATGCAGTAAGCTCAAGAAATTCCATCTTCAGTAAACATTTCTCTTCACCCGGGATGGTGTTCTTGTTGCACTTCTAAGATAAGGATCTAAGCTTCAAAATTTAAAGCGTCGTCAACAAGTGCTCTGCTTTAAGGGACAACCCTTTTAATTGAGGGTCTTCTTGGCAGCGAAGAACAAACTAGACAAAGTGAGCTTGGCTGACATTGTCTTGAAACGGACTGTTACATTTAGTAATAGTAATTGTAATAGTAAAAACTTTTGAATAGGTGTCCAATCACAAATGATCTGCTTACTTTTAAATGATCGACACACTTCTAGACTAGCTTGTAAAAAAATTATCAATTCCCCAAGATTACGAACCACGAAAGTCGAACAAGTGATTCCAAAAGAGCAAAGAGCCAAAGGTGCTGTCAGAAGAAGACAGTCATGATTTACTATTAATGGTTCGAGAGCCACGACTATTATTGGGTAGTTTTTACAATTCTCAAATTATTGTGAGCGAAATATTACTGCAAAGAGATAGATACTTAATCCTGGATCCAATTGTTTTTTATAATGCTTGTTAATATCAAGGTTTACTGTTAGACAATTTCGATTTTGAATTGCTTCAGCTCATATCATAAGATACGTCATAGAGGCGCTTACGATTAAACTACTATATCTCGTGTAACGTTCGATTCTGCTCGGAACGTAGTCACTAAAATGTATATAGAAAGTTCGCGTTATTTTAGAAGTTTATACAAAGTCGTCTCGCGCTCGTACTCCACGGGTCCGAAAATTAGAAACATATGCACATCAAATTCAACAATATTTAATATGACATATGAAGATGATATTCGTTTAGCAATAGAACTGTCTCTGCAGGAAAGATCTCTGAACGATAAACAACAAGCATTGGAGTCTCCAAACAATGTCGAAGAGAATAACCAGCAAGCGATAGCCCAAAGCTCCTCTGCTAATAATGCGAATATTTTGGGATCCTTGCCAGATAGAAAACAGCTCGAAAGAGAAAGGCTAGCTAGGATCGAAAAGAGAAAGAACGAGAGTTTGGAACACGACAATAATGGGAAGAAATTGATAACCGATACTGGTGCTACCGGTCGCAATGACTTTGGTAAAGTCCATGATTGCAAACGATAATCAAACGAATTGCTTCGTATGTTTAATATTAACGTCGAGGCGATTTTGTAAATTTGCCCCTTGCTGAGCGTAGCATCAGGACCTGTCTATTTAGACGGAACAACTAAACTAATATACGTCTCTGGCTTCGATGGAGACTACTTTCGTTTTGAGGATCTCGTTCAAAAGGTTTAGCAAAGTCTTTCTATCGCGAGACATTCCGTGCACGTACTTGTTCTAATTATCCCCTCTTCACTGTGCATAAAAAGACGGGTCTCAAAAAAGGATTCTTCTCTGCATACGTCTTTGATTCAGATTGGTTTTTTAGTCATATACCAAATGGTGTGAACATTGTGTTAGCCATGCATTGGTCCTCAAATAATGGTGAGAAGGTTTGTATTCATCAAACTGTTTACGACTGAGCTCTGATTTTCTGGAATCACACGAGTATGTCTCAATAACAGTTTTCTTATCTCTTCTAGCAAGGAATCTTTACTCTTCCAAATTCCAAGTACAATTTGACCATCGTCCACCCTCCAATGCCTCCGTCTGGATTTGGTTGCTTTCATCCTAAGCTGATGTTGTTATTTTACGAGAACTGGATGCGAGTTGTGGTTTCATCAGGTAGTTATCTCCTGTGTCAACGAATCAAATGTCACTGATGCCTGATACGTTTGGTAATCAAATACCGACAAACTTACCCAACAATTCTGCTCTTTAGCCAACTTAGTGCCATACGATTGGGATATCATGGAAAACATAGCCTTCGTCCAAGACTTTCCTGTGTCTGGAAATACTGTATCTTCAATTGATGAACTACCATCGTTTGCAAAAGATCTGTACGGTTTCTTAACTGCTATGAAAGTACCCGCTCAAGTTTGCGAGAAACTTAAAGAATATGATTTCACACGCGCACAGGTTATATCATATGACGAGAAACTGCAAGTTCTTTGGCAGTCATTTTTGATGCTAACAGGACGATTTTAAAATAGGCTATCCTCGTTCCTTCAGTAGCTGGGACACATCGAAGTTCAAATAAGATAAAGGCATACGGTCATACGCGGTTAGCAGAAGCCGTTAGGAGACTCTGCGGTACGTTGGATGATGTGCAACTTGAATGTCAGGTATCTATTATATTATTTATATGAATAGTATGTTTTCCTGCTTGTTATGAATTGTTTTCTAACGCAAATAATAGACATCTTCGCTAGGAGCTCTCCATCAGCGATTCCTGGAAGACTTTTACCGTTCAGCAAGTGGACTCGACCCTATTCAGCGAAGTCTTGGGAGGAAAAAGGAAACGAGTGTGACACCCAAAATTGCTGTCGGTTTCCCATCACTGAAGACAGTGAACGAGTCAAGATATGGACCATCGGTTTGAATAACTTGAATAGTAATAACACGTATATGGTTGATGTACAAATGCAACCAATTCCACTAATTACATAATTTTCATACGAAAGGGCGCGGGGACAATATTTTTTTCCAGAAAAAACTATGAAAAAAGCACATTTCCGAAATACGTTCTTCATGATTCCGTTTCTCGAAGGCGCGGAACGCTAATGCATTTAAAAGTATGTTGGATAGTAGCGAATTGCTATGAGGTCAATTGCATGTTGCTTCGCGTCTGCATCTAATGACGATGAAATCGATTACAGCTTATACTAGCATACCCAAGCCAAATAGAGCGGCAGCCAGAATCTCCGGATTACGACAACCAATCGACTGATGCAGCGTCTGCAAAAAGTAGAGTTACAGGATGGTATTATTGTGGTAGTCATAACTTTACAATGGCTGCCTGGGGCCAACTTACTACATCTCGCGAGACCAAACAACCACAATTGACTATAAACAATTGGGAACTCGGGGTAGTACTGCCTATAAAGGAGGATAATAATGTAAATGATAGTGGCGATCGGTTTCTGAACAGTGGTGTGCCTATACCATTTGAAAGACCACTTCGAAAGTATTCGGCGACGGATGAGCCTTGGGTATGGTTTGATATTTATTTCTATATCTGTATATAATGAGCGATCTTCGATTAATATTGGTTGTGTTTGTTTTAGATGAAATTATGAAGGATAAATCCATATTATAATTGTTTGTGGCACATAATCGTAGCTACGCTCCAATCATTTTCGCTAGATCTGAATTATGTCATAAGCACCAATTTAGTAACTACAATTCTCATGCATACAGGTTGCTCTATTACTATCTGTTAGTACTAAATGCCTCAGGTATACCATAGAGCATTCTACTTACTTATCTGTTAGAGATACTAATACGGATAATTATAATGTTTAATAAAATTTCTATCTGTCGCGAGATCAGGTCCCTGATCCACCAAAACATTTTGTAAACGATCCAAATGAAGTACGTTTTCTCTGGCCAGGATATTGATTCTGTTTGTTGAGATATGAGATAGGAGGATTCATAAATTGAATAAAACTTAGATTGTGGTAGAAGCGCTTCGTGGTCTGTGCTTGACCCGTCCATACTTGCGATTGATTGAGAGAGAAAAGGGTAAGGGAGAATTATAATCGCAAACTGCTGGATACTTGAGCCAATTCCTGACTAAACATTTCGAACATGGTTTAGTCGTATACAGAGCAGATATCGACACAATTAGAGCTAAGCAAGTTACACTTATTTCGGGTGGTAAGTTAATGACGGCCTTATAGACATTTATTTACAATACAGTTCATAGCATATTTATTTATTAGCATGACAATATAAAAATCAACTAGGTGGAGCGGGCCATGAACCAGCACATGCGGGATTTGTTGGAGCAAATCTTCTATCAGCAGCAGTCTCTGGCAATGTCTTTGCTTCTCCGTCAGCGTCACAAATCCTAGCTGCTATTCGTCGCGTCCAATCACCCCATGGAACGTTGCTTATAGTCAAGAATTACACAGGTGATTGTTTGAATTTCGGCCTCGCGGCCGAACGAGCGAAAGCAGAAGGCATCAAAGTCGATATGATAATTGTCGGGGACGATGTCGGCGTTGGAAGGAAGAATGATGGACTCGTAGGGAGACGCGGTCTAGCGGGAACTGTATTGGTACATAAAGTTGCAGGAGCCGTTGCAGCGAATGGGTTGGTGTCTTGCCATGATTTAATAAATTCATATAATCGAGTTGAGCGTGTTGGGTCAAGTATTGAATTGTTGCAGGGCTACCCTGGAAAAAGTCAAAGCCGCGGCGAGAACGGTCATTGAAAATCTGGGCACAGTTGGGGTTGCATTCGATCGTTGTACTATTCCTGGGTCAGATAACAAGTCTTTGTTACCCGCGAATCAAATCGAATTGGGTTTAGGTGAGAACAAGAACATTTAGTGGATTTTGTCTATCTGAGAAAAGTATTGGGAATTAAAATTAATCTCTCCGTTTCATTCCACCATCTTGTTGTTAAAGGAATTCATGGTGAACCAGGAAGCAGCCGAACATCTTTATTACCTTCCCGAGAACTTGTACGACGGATGTTGGAAATGATTATTTCAAAAACAGATCCCGATCGATCATACCTGGATGTCCAGGAAAACAGAGATTCGGTTGTGCTGTTGGTCAACAATCTCGGGGCTACATCTGGTCTTGAATGTGGCGTTGTGTTGAACGATGCTCTTTTATACTTGAGTACGTTGCGGCAAATTTCATGCCCTGTAACTGATTACGCTTGGTATCTAAAATAAGTTGTCAACATCCTCGTAGATGAGAGAGGATTAGATGTGAAGAGAAGCTTCACTGGGTCTTTTATGACATCTTTAAATATGCCGGGAGTTTCCTTGACTATTCTTAAACTACCGCAAGATGAAGACCTGATCAAGTACATTGATAAACCCGTGGATGCACCAGAGTGGATGAATTACGTGACGGCAGATATCTCCCAACTTGATGTAGAGCTAGATGAGAAAGTGTCTGATTCGACCCACGTGCCAATCTACCAACATAAAGTCATTGGTATTTATGACAAATTTGAGTTTTTTGTCCGTTCTCGTTGTCTTTGCTGATACTTTTGGATTTTCAGTTGACCCGTCGCTCTTTGAAAGAACCATCAGGTCTGCTTGTGAATCAGCTATCAAGCACGAACCTGAAATAACGGCTGCTGACACGATTGCCGGTGATGGAGACTGCGGGATTACTATAGCAAATGGCGCAAAAGGTGATTATACAGTATTGTATGAACCTATTGAAACTTTTTATATTAATTAAGGTGCAACGGTCAATTCAGCTGTGCTCGCGGCTCTTGAGAAGAATGAAATAGATTCAAGTGATTGTTCTAGGGCGTTACTTCAAATTAGCAATATATTGGAAAACACGATGGGTGGAACCAGTGGTGCATTGTATTGGTACGCTAATTATATCTTGCGTATGTACGTGCTTGTGAGCATTGACGCCTAACGCGCTTTTCTTTCTACTACATCAAGTATATTCTTGAATTCTTTAGCTCGCGAGTTGAGACATAGTGTTGAAACGCGTAAAAATGCAGGAAATGCAGTGGCTGATGCCCAGTGCTGGGTTGAATCTTTAAAGGTCTGGCTTTTTTTTACTATAATATCAACAATCAAAATCTTAACTAACTATTATCAATAGAAAGCGCTTAATGACCTCGAGTCTTACACGCCAGCACGAGAAGGAGATCGTACGTTGATGGATGCGCTTATACCCTTTGTCACGTCATTTTCACATGCAGTTTCGGCCGACTCTAATATTAGAATGGCGTTAGCTAAGGCTGCTGAGACGGCGAGCCAGGGAGCTCAGAATACGAGAAATCTGCGGGCACGATTAGGCAGGGCTTCTTACTTGGATTCGGAAACCATCAGAACTGCTGGAATAGTTGATGCAGGAGCCCTGGCTGTTACCAAGATTGTCGATGGAATAGTGAAAGTATTGACTGCATGATATGCATCATACATGTAATTGTAAATTTAACGAAGGTTTATTGGAAAACTCTTGGGGATACAAAGAGAATGCTCGATGCATAAACGACCATCGACAATATTGCTACAGGTTGCAAGAATTTTTGAGAATCTTTTATGTGTAGGCTTATGATCACATAGAGGTTGAGTAAATAACCAATAGCTTATTAGGCAAAGCGCGGTATAAAGCGTTTATGAATGACAAATAAATCACCTAAAAGAAACAACTATGTACTATGTTTCGCATATCAATTCAGGTTCAAGAAGCTATATATATACATGCCATCATATGCAGAATTTACTGCAAGGGGAGAAGCTAGAGACATTTGCCCATCTGAAATATTATCAGAAGTGGTTTTGTTGCAGTCTGTCCCATATTGTATATGACCAATGTGAATGACTGCTTTAGTGTATTAGTGAATGGCTGTGCTCATGGACTAATTTAAATATAAACACATTTTTCAAGTCAAATAAAACATAAATATGAAAAATTACAGGACTTAAAAAAAAAGAACAAGGGAAAAAAATTGCACCTTATGTTTTTATGACAAATAATACTCAAACACTTGAAAATCACTTATTCTTATGAAATTTACCAAGAACAAAAAATAAAAACCAATAAACGAACATTAACACTAACTAAATCCTTAATCTTACTCTTTTCCGTGAGTTAAAAACAAGGAGAACATAGTTTGGTTTCTTTAAACGAAAGATAGAAGGAAAGCATTTAACGTAAAAGCTTCCCGCTAAGGCCTCCACTAATCGAGTGACCTATTACTATGCAGCTTAGCAATGAACCAAGAATGAAAAAGCGAGAGAATTCTTCTTTGAAGTAATAGTAATGGGATAATGTGGCGAAGTTAAAGTTTTTACTTAGACAACTTTTTATAAACCAAATAAAATTTACGATATTTTTGACGCTCAATTGAGGATAAGTTTATCATACAAAATGTCGAATTTAATCGTATTATTATTATAGAATGTCATACAATAATTAATGTTATGCTGCCATCTCTTCCTTTTTTCTTCATTATAGTCAATAATTCAGACACTTTTATCCGACACTTTTATGGTCGTACAGCATATTCTGAATATGGTTTGATCTTCATCAATATAACCAGCACAAATTCCGGACGTCTTTCGTTTAAACAAGAACCCACTTTTGCCTAAATTACACTATTTTGAGCTTGTAGCCAAAATCATTAGTATTATTTCAGTTATTGGTAAATGTTATTATCAGTATTAGAGATTGTTTCTATCTTGGTAAATGAATCGTTAGAGCTTGTTCGCTGAAAGTGACCATTCGATCTGCTAATAGTAATATTTCATTGGAATTAATTTAACAGCTGAATATCAGTTCTGATGTTTCTGTCGTTGTTAAGTGAATCAGGCCATCCCTTGATATGACAGTAAACAGTGTTCGCATCGTTTATTAATATTTCTATCGTTGTAAGTGAATCAGACCATTCCTTGGTATGA